GCAATTTTTCAGTATTTGGTCCATTTCAACACTTAAACATTATGCGATCATCTCCAGAAGCAATAGGGTTCTATTCTGGCCCAAACCCCACCTCCATTCTAAATTTCGTGAAGATCGGGTAATAATTGGGACCTGTAGAGTGATTACAAATTAACATGGACAGACGGACAGGCGGACGGATCGACTCAGCTCGGCGAGATAGGAAGATCCATATATACTTTCCTATGTGGGAAGCCAATATTTCGAGGTGTTACATAATCTTTGGCCCAATCAAACTTATAATACCCCCAACACATAGTGTTGTAGGGTATAAAAACGAGAAACCACATTTAAAACCCGGTATATCTCTGTCTTATTATACCAATCCTACATGTAATGTTGAACATACTATCCTCTACATTAACGCTCCCTATGAATTAAGTCCCACATTGACAAACATTTGAATGCTGAAAGCTATCTGTTAAGCGGATAAGTTTATGTCATGTCACATTAATCGATCCATCCAGCCACACATGTCAGCCTTCGCATTTAGAACTAAGCGTTGATGACATCGTTAATAGGACGACAGGCTGGCAGGCAGGCAAATAACCAAAAATGACACCCTCACCACAGAACCTCATGTGTCAACACAGGCACTCGCACACATACAAACATCTATACAAATAATTATGCAAACGCATTCAAATTTCACGGTTGTCGATGGAAGAATTGCGCATTTAAACACGAATTTTCAGTTCAATTATGTTGCATATTCCCCACTTGCAAATGGGTGGAAAGGGTTATTACAGAAGTCATCAAAATTCCGAATATATGGACGTACCGTTATATTGGGGCTATACGAAGACGTGGATCTGCTCGGACAATTTTCTGCCATAGGCTGTAGCACCCATTACGAACTTCAAATACCAAATACCATTTCCGGTGAATAATGTCGCTTAAATCACCAAAATAACGAACGTGGACCCATTTTCAATACAAAGGTCCTGCAGACATAATACACACTTGAGTAAAATTTTATCAACCAACTAGAAGCTAGAGTGATTTCCACAGACGGACAGGCGGATAGACGATAGAGGGTATAAAAAATCCAACGACTATATCGCTGATGCTTAAAAGAAGCACAATCTTAGCTTTAAAACTATTTTGAAAACATGTTTGAAAAATCCACAATTACATTTCTTAAAAAAACAAGTAAGCAAAGGCTATAGTCGTGCGGTGTCGACCATGTGATACCCTACAACACTACAATATGTTCGAAGTCCCCTTATATCCAAATCCATTTTGAAAGATTTCGTTTTTTAAATAATGTCAAAGAGCCCTAGTTTTTTGGCCCAGAGAATTTGGCAAAAGTTGTTAAAGTACTCCAATGGTCATCCAGAATGCTAGGCTTCTTCCCTGTCCTTAACACTCTTCCCATGTGAAATTCCGTGTCGATTACTTTCAATTGTGGCCTATAGAGCGACTACAAAATTAGAAAAATTAAATATTTTTTAGTCCATTTGCACCTTTAAATGTACATCTTAAGAACAATAGACTTTAATTATGACCCTAACCCAAACCCCATGCCAAATTTCGTGAAGATCGGACGATAATTGCGACATGCATATAATACCCTCAAAACATATTGTTGGGGGAATTACTGTCCGATGACCACCCAAATTGGTAGGTTTCTGTCCACTCCTAAACTGTAACTCCATGTAAATTTTCGGGTCGATTGGTTCATAATTGTGACATATAGAGCAACTGCAAAATCAGGAAAATTTTCTGTTTTTGGTCCATTTTAACCCAAAATATCGTGCGATCATCTCCAAAAACAATAAGGTTCTATTCTGACCATAACCCCACCTCCATTTTCAATTTCGTGAAGATCGGGCCATAATTGCGACCTGTAGAGTGATTACAAATTAACATGGACAGACGGACGGACGGACATACATAGCTAGATCGACTCAGCTCGGCTAGCTAGGAAGACCCATATATACTTTCCTATGTGGGAAACCAATATTTCGTGGTGTTACATAATTTTTGGCCCAATCAAAGTTATAATACCCCCAACACATAATGTTGTAGGGTATAAATATGTTTTAAATTAATTACATGTTTTAAATTTTCAGTTATATCTAATAGACCATGAAAAGAGCTCTTTTGAATGGAAAAATATGCGTATACATACTTTCATAACCCTCTTCTCAGTCTCTGTTTTCTATGTAAATATTCAACAATCAATGTCCATTTGTAATCTGACATATGTGTTATCGTTGCACCGCCTCCTAGGATCCTGCGTTCATATCGAACCCGCCTGCAACTTGGTTTCTAGATAATGATAATGACTTTCTGGTTTTTACATAATTTGATTTTGTTCGAAACATGGGACCCATATTCAGCTTCCCTTTCAACACACATTCCAGGACTTATAAATGACAAGTGATTGATGAATGTTTGCAGCGTTTTTGTCGAATGTCAATCATGCAGCCACATACATACGGCTGTAATGTCAACACCACCACCACCACTAAAGAATTGGAATCGATTGTAGGTTCATGTAGTCGGTACAAAATATAAATTCGCCAACATAAATGCATCAATTTTATATGATTGGAAACATTTTTATGCCATGAATATTGCTGTATTCAGACATTTTCAGTATAATTCTTCTATATGAAATAATATACCTTAAATTAATTTTTAAATTTTATCCTATACTCAGAATAAATTGTAAATTATAATTTTTTTTCCAAGAACATCAGAAGTATAATAAGGAATTTTAAATGACTTTTAAAGCGATAGTCCTGATTTTTGCAAATGTTCATCTGAAAACTGTCAGAGCTACAATCGTATGTTTTTAGTCGTCTTTTATACCCTCAGTCACATGGCTTGAGAGTATCAGTTGATACTGCCAAAACGTGCCTCATCGAAATAACAATTTTAGACCCTAGGTCTCTTTGGCTCAAATCTGTTTCAGTACATTTGGAGTCGATCTAGCGATGTCCGTACGTGTGTCTGTCTGTCAGGCTGACTGGCTGGCTGGTGCAGACGATAACTCTCAAAGGGAGTATCGATTAGGTCCAAACTTGATACATCGTAATATTATTAAAGGGAAAGGATAATCCGATTTTGCTCCAACTTTGCAAATTCAAATATTTGCATCAGTACTAAATCGGGTGCGAAACTGAGTAATATCGCTCCACTCCATCGAGTATCTTTCCCACAAATGGTCAAAATTTCCGATTGTCTTCAAATTAAATACACCACAATATTAGGTGTGTCTGGTTACTTTTCCAGCAGGAATTGTCCAGCAACTTCTTTCTGAGAGAGTAAGGTAGTTTTATTCTCTTTTGCAAGGAAAATGCGAAAAGTAAACAGACGCTATTCCTGCAGAAGCTTGCAACCAATCAGCTGATTTGTCAAAACAAACCAATTTGTCCCCCATAAGGAGAATTAAAACAAAGGAACCAATACTAATTTTACAAGTTTTTTAAAAAAAAATGTTGGAAATAGTCTTATTACACATTAACATTTAAGTTTTTCACATTTTGTAAAGTTGTTCTCTAAAAACAATTAGTCTTGCTAATTCCAAAACAATATTTTCAAATTAAAATCACAAAAAGAAATAACAACCAGTAAGGAAAGCTCAAAAGTCGGGCGGGGCCGACTATATGATACCCTACACCACTATGCATATTTAGTAGAGCTCTCGTAAAAAGGTTTATACAGGGAATTTTAGAGCTCTATGAGATATTTGGTACAAAATCAAAATCTATATAATTCTATAGTGCATTTTACGAACTATAGCTATCTCTGAACCGGGTTTCTCCAAATTTGACGTATTAGCTTCTGGACTGAATTCGGTCTTATGTACGAAAATTCATGCCATTTGGGTTGATATAGGCCATTTGATGCACAATTAACACGAAATCGGATGAAGATATATATGGGAGGCATATCCAAATCGGAACAGATTTTAATAAAATTAAAATCAACTATTTTTGGGCTTTATCTGATATCTGGAACCAAATATCATTCCTGTGGAGTGCATATTACGAATGTGAGGGACTTAAAGACCAAATCGGATGAAAGATATATATGGGAGCTATAGCTATATCTGAACCGGTTTTTACTAAAATTGGTGTACTTGCTTCTAAGCTCGTTTCTGTCGCATTTGCCAAAATTGATGCTATTACGGCCATTTGGTGGTCAATCACCAGAAATCGGATGAAGATATATATGGGAGCTATATCCAAATCTGAACCGATTTCGATAAAATTTAAAACAGCTATTCCTGTGCTCCATCTAATACCTGGTACCAAATATCACGGTTGTGGAGTGCATAGTAGGAATGTGAGGGACTTAAAGATCAAATCGGATGAAAGATATATATGGGAGCTATAGCTATATCTGAACCGATTTTCTCCAAATTTAATATACTTGCTTCTAGGCCGAACTCGGTTGGGTGTGCCAAAATTCAGGTCATTTGGACTGATAGTGGACATTTGGTGCACATTTAACCCGAAATCGGATGAAGATATATATGGGAGCTATATCTAAATTTGATCCGATTCTCACCAATTTCAATAGGGTTCGTCCTTGGCCCAAAAAAAATTTTGTTTGGAAAATTTCATCTCAATCGGATAGTAAATGCGACCTGCATTTTGTTCACAAGAATACATGGACAGACGGACGGACGGACAGACGGACTGACATGCATAAATCGACTCAGAAAGTGATTCTATGAAGGTTCTCAAAAGTAACTATGGGTCTATCTCGTTTCCTTCTCCATGTTACAAACAAATGCACAAAGACATAATACCCTTACCACTATGTGGTGTAGGGTATAAAAACCCAACTTCATCTTATACCAAAAGTGATCTACACATCAAACTTGGTTTCTTATATAATCGAATATTTGATCTATTATTCTGACGTTATTAATAAATTCCAAAACTGACTCCATTCGACGAATATATATATAGACATCTCTCATTACAAAGATAAAAAAGGCACAGAGTTTTATTTTTATTTTAACTTTATTTCATTAATTATTTTCTACATATACTCTCAGTGTTCGCCATCATATGTCACATTTGTTCCACTCATCCTTGGTAGTCAAAATTGGGAACTCTAAAACAAATCAGAAACAGAAAACTTAAATTAGTACCATATAAATAAGCAAAAATATTTTATAAATTTGTTTATACGAATACTTTTAAAAAAATAATGTAAATCATTGTTATACTATCATTTTATTTCATCTTTTATTATTTTAGTGGGTAAAATATTGAAAATTTCTTCGTTTTTGATAAAAATTATTATTGTTTATTCATGGCATTTTAAAGTCCCCAACTATTTTCTCTTACTCAGCTTAACCAAACTCCAAACTTATTCAAATTTAATTTTCAGTAGTAATTTAATTGTAATTTCACCACTAAAGCAATTTGATATGCCACCCATATCCCGCTTATTTATACACGAAATTTTTTATACTTATTCCCAATTAGCACTTTACATATTTGGTATTCATACATTTACACCTTTTATTAATGTTTGCCGCCTACCTTTCGGCAACAAATACAGACCACAGTAAACATTTTGATATATGGCGTTGTGATTATGGAATTTCATTTAAACATTTTGATATCGGGTAAGTGTACCAGTAGTCGGCACTTTTAGGATTTTCAATTTTTCAATCTTTCAACACTCTGAGTGAAATCTTTCAATTGCAGAAAAATAAAGTTGTTCAGATTCCAAATTTTGTTTAGTTTTCGAAATAATAAATAAAAATTGAATTTTTTTTTACTAAATTGGCAAAATTTGCAATTTTACTAAAATAGTAGTTTTTTGCCAGTAGTCGGCAACATTTTCCAATGCTCGGTATGTCCATTTGCCAGTAGTCGGCATATGGTATTTCAGTAAAAAAAAATATTATTTTGTATATTTTTTATTTCAAACAGTATAAAACAATGCTATATTACTAATTCACAGTTTAATCCAGAATTTGAAATTAATCTCGTTTTTAAATAGTGTTTTATTTAATTTTCATTACCTTCAGTAAAGTATGGATTTTCAGTTAAAATAAAAATGAGATTTAATAAAAAGAGAAAAAATTACCATTCTTATATTTGGAATTTGTGAATTGATATTTTTCCATTAGATAGCCAGAATTTTTTTTAAATGCCACCGCTATCTGAAACGTCAAATTGCTGATGTAAAAAACCTCCTTAATTTAGAAAAGTTAGTCAAAAAGCACAAATAAAAGCAACTACCGACTCGAAACTATTTTTTAATTGAGTAGTTTTTGGATCATTTTTTAATATTTATCACAAGTTTTAGTGAAATTGGTCAAAAATTATATTTTTCTAGTAATCGGCACCCCCTGGCGACTACTGGCAAATCTCTTTTTTTCTGTTCCTAATGTCGGCATTAAATAATATAACAGAAAAATGCTTAATTTGTATATTTTTGAGTTATAAAATGATCTTTAGACTATTATTTACTTTAATAAAATATTTCTGATTCCAAAAGTATTAAATTTAATTTACTTAAATCGATTATTAAGTTGACGCCACCACTAATTTTTTCTTTACAAACAAGCACTATCGCACGCGTTGGAAGACACTCACTGACAAAAACCGTTATTCGCTCGTAATAAATGATCGGAGGTAATTGTTTTTTACAAAAAGGGAGCAGAGAACACTGTTGACGTTTTTTTTTTTTTTGTTTTTTAAGTTTAAATTTCAAAACTGACGACTACTGGGACATGCCGAACTTGGGCACACTTACCCTATGGCGTTGTGATTATGGAATTTCATTTAATACATTTTAATGTAATCTTTATCCACTTACCTTCTCGAAAAATTTTGCCCTTGTGACCCATTAGACAGTCAAGTTCACATCCGTTGACCAAAAGCACACTTCTCGATTCCTGCACACATGTATTGTTGAACCTGTAACAATTTTTTTGTATGTTGGGCATATAATGAACCATACCAAGCTACTGGCAAATGCAGTTGTGTGAGGAGGACTGGGGAGAGAAAGAAGAAAGGTCTCGAATAAATTACTGCAAAATTATTTCAATGTTCGTCGTCTGAACTTACATAAATGTTGATCCATACTGAAAACAGGCACCATCATGCTGATATGAATGTCAATGACTTTCACGGCATCCTCCAACCTGTATTTCATACTAGTAGCTTAACTAGTCTTAAGATGTACCTCGTGTATGCAGACTTGGAAACATGTTTGCATTTGGGGAGAATATCGAAATTGGAAATATCATGGCCACACAAAAATAAAATGAGTAAACCAACCATACGATATAGCACACATTGGACCCTTATAGATATAGAGACATTTGTATTACCATCCTTTTTACTGGCTTCAATGTTGTCGGAAAACATCTAATAAATCTCTGTAATAAGAATATATAAAATAAAAATTAATTAAAACAAGTAAGCAAAGGCTACAGTCGAGCGGGGCCGACCGTTGAATACCCTACAACACTATAATAAACTATACAGTTTATATAGGCGAGATACACGAAAGAATTCCACAAGATATTGTGACAAATAATAAAAGAAAACCATCAGGTTTCGTTCTCTAATTTTCGAATAATAGCAACTTTAACTAATTTGCTCATTTCCAATTTATTAGTAGATGTTGCACGCAAACGGCCTTCTTAGATCTGGAACCAATATTTCCCAAAGACCTATAATCTCTCAGAAGTGACAGAAGATTAACATTTATTATTGGTTTTTGACTGAAACGCATCTACATGAGATACAGACATTTGACTATATTCTTCAACGGAATCTGCGTTAACGAAATAGCCAGAAGTGTGTCTTTTCTGTATTTGTGAATTCTGCAAAAAGTCACTGGAATGGACATTTTCGTATTTTGTCTACAAAAGTTGGCAAACTATTTCATACATTGAATATTTTTGGATGGCCATCCAAAACTGCTTGGCTTTTGCAATGTCCGGTAATCCCCATTCAAATGTGGGTGAGGATCGGGCAATAATTACGAACTGCTGACAATTATGCATTTTTTGGTCCATTTCAACCCCTAAATATGTGGCAATTATCTCCAAAAAGAGTAGGCTTCTATTCTGGCCCTCATCTGATCCCCATGCAAAATTTCTCTAGGATCGGGCCATAAATGCGATCTGTATATGATATCCTAACTACTTAGTTTTGTTAGCTGTAGAAATATTAACAAATGTTTAATTCAAAATTAAAATATGCCAAAAATATGACAAAATTGAAAAATTATGAGAAAATTTTACAAAATCAATATTTTTATCTTTAGAGAGATATTTTTATGCGATTTTTTTAAGATGTTTTTTCTTTCCTGACAAGAGGCCATTCTGAATTAATGAGAACTGTCGAAATCAGTTCAGCCGTTCTCGACATATAAGAGATCTTTCAAGCATATCTTCTTTGATAGACATATATATCGCACATATTTTGCTATATATCCGATTAGATGGATGTTAACATCAATGTAAAGATCAGAAGTAACCTTGTCATGGCTTTGTGATTTCGCCGGGATTTAAAATATTCGCGGTTTAATGAAAAATTTTGAATTTTTTCAACACAAAAGATATGGTCTATTTTACCCGCTAAATATTATCCGATGATCACCAAAATTGGTAGGCTTCTTCCCCGCCCTAAACTCTAGCTACATGCGCGTCGATTGGTCTATAATTGCGACCTTTATAGCTACTGCAAAATCCGACATTTTTTCAGTTTTTGGTCTATTTCGACCCCTAAATATTATGCGATCATCTCCAAAAGAAATAGGGTTCTATTCTGACCCTACCCCCACCTCCATTCTAAATTTCGTGAAGATCGGGCCATAATTGCGACCTGTAGAGTGATTACAAATTAACATGGACAGACAGACGGACAGACGGACGGACGGACATACATAGCTAGATCGACTCAGCTCGGCGAGCTAGGAAGATCCATATATACTTTTCTATATGGGAAACCAATATTTCGAGGTGTTACATAAATTCTGGCCCAATTAAACTTATAATACCACCAACACATAGTGTTGTAGGGTATAATTATAAATATGAAAAAAGCAATCAATTAAACATATTTTAATGTCAATACATATTTAAATTTTGGGCACAACGGAATTTATCTCCAGCAACTTCCAAACATTAAGAGAAAGCATATGACTCGAACGAGCGAGAATCAAGCCACACGCAAAGCAAAAACTTAAAACGTACTACAACATTGACTAACGCATCAGCTAAAGAAAGATCCGGAACATTCCATCATAAACTTTTATGACATCTCTATACATAATTCCCGTCTAACCATCTATATCTGGCGATCTGAGTGTCCTATAGAAAGCTGTAGGGTCACCCACCACCGATTGTTAAATTGATTCTGTTTTGGTTGTTTGCAATTACAACAGTTATAGCTAAATTCAGTTTGCGTTTACTCCTGTTCTCCTGCTGCCGGTCTTTATGTTCCTAGTTAAGGCAGTCATGCAGTTTACGGATATATATTTATCGTACATATCCCTCGTATAAATTCACTTTTTTCTGTTATTACTATTGCTTTTGAGTGTATGTGTGTACAGGGTTGCCCATATTCGACGGACCTTTGGGCCCATTCCAATCGACGAGGCTTGTCCGCAGGCGTTTTTGGGATGTTCTTGGGGACCTCTCAACACTGGCTCGTACGGCAGTGATATTCTCGGCCGATCGCCTTGGTCGACTTTTATATGGCCTCTTCGGATTAGAAAGAGCCTTACCAGTCGAACATTTTTCGTATAAACGCTTAATGGTGTTCTTAGAAGGCGCATTTCTCACATTTTTTTCACAATTGACTTCTTCTGTTGAATGTAAATTTCAACTATTTCAGAGCGCTCGCGTGGCGTGTATTGGTTCATGGTAAAAAACTGCTTGGACTGACGCTTCAAACGCGGTATATCATTAAGCGATGTGACATCTCTGTCAGAAGTTATGGCGTTGCCAGATGTACATGTTCACCTTCGGGCTCCGTTTGAAGGATGCACCACCATGGTTTCACGGATAAATTCAGAATTACCTTCTTTTTGTAATAGGAAAGAAAATTTTCTCATGCTTTCACTGTCATTAAGAAAATCTGCTAGTTCTAGTGGAAACTGATTCTTTTCTGAGAGTAGGAAGAATAGAATTCCTAGTCTCAATAAAGAGTGAGTTTTGGTGGCGGCCAAGTGGTAGGTATTAGGCGCACATTTCTATCAGGTATTACTCAGCACAATTTTTGCAATATCTTTTACTAGCCTCCACATAATTCGACCTAAGCCCATTCCAATTTGTGGCATTTTTTTATTTTCTACTATTTTTCAGTTCATCCATTTATATTAACCATTCATGTTTTATGAGTTTATTTGTGTTTTTTTTATCTACCATTCCTTCTTGTGGTAGTTCGTTTCATCGGCCCTCGAGTAAAAGTTATTGTGATATTTTTTATTAGAAGTCCCTATCCTCAATGAACTTTATTCGTTATTGGGGTCATTTATTAGATAACGGCAAGAACAAATTGAAAACAAGTAAGCAAAGGCTACAGTCGAGCGGGGCCGACCGTTGAATACCCTACAACACTATAATAAATGATACAGTTTATGTAGGCCATATACTCGAAAGAATTCCACAAGATATTGTGACAAATAATAAAAGAAAATCATCAGGTTCCGTTCTCTAGTTTTCGAATAATAGCAACTTAAACTAATTTGCTCATTTCCGATTTATTGGTAGATGTTGTACGTAAATGGTCTTCCTAGATCTGGAACCAATATTTCCCAAAGACCTATAATATCTCAGAAGAGGCAAAAGATTAACATTTATTATTGGTTTTTGACTGAAACGCATCTATATGAGATACAGACATTTGACTATATTCTTCAACGAAATCAGCCTTAACGAAATAGTCAGAAGTGTGTCTTTCCTGCATTTGTGAATTCTCCAAAAAGACACTGGAATGGATATTTTCGTATTTTGTCTACAAAAGTTGGCAAACTATTTCACACATTGAATATTTTTGGATGGCCATCCAAAACTATTTGGCTTTTGCAATGTCCGGTAACCTCCATTCAAATGCGCGTGAGGATCGGGCGATAATTACGACTTGCTGACAATTTTGCAGTTTTTTTTTTTTGTCAATTTCAACCCCTAAATATATGGCGATTATCTCCAAAAAGAGTAGGCTTCTATTCTGACCCTCATCTTATCCCCATGCAAAACTTCGTAAGGATCGGGCCATAAATGCGATCTGTATACGATATCCTGATATCCTAACTACTTAGTTTTGTTAGCTGTAGACATATTAACAAATGTTTAATTCAAAATTAAAATATGCCAAAAATATGACAAAATTGAAAAATTATGAGAAAATTTTACAAAATCAATATTTTATCTTTAGAGAGATATTTTTATGCGATTTTTTTAAGATGTTTTTTCTTTCCTGTCAAGAGGCCATTCTGAATTAATGAGAAATGTCGAAATCAGTTCAGCAGTTCTCGACACATAAGAGATCTTTCAATCATATCTTCTTTGATAGACATATATATCGCACATATTTTGCTATATATCCGATTAGATGGATGTTAACATCAATGTAAAGATCAGAAGTAACCTTGTCATGGCTTTGTGATTTCGCCGGGATTTAAAATATTCGCGGTTTAATGAAAAATTTTGAATTTTTTCAACACAAAAGATATGGTCTATTTTACCCGCTAAATATTATCCGATGACCACCCAAATTGGTAGGCTTCTTCCCCGCCCTAAACTCTAGCTACATGCGAAATTCCGCGTCGATTGGTCTATAATTGCGACCTGTATAGCTACTGCAAAATCCGACATTTTTTTAGTATTTGGTCCATTTCAACACCTAAACATTTGGCGACCATCTCCAAAAGAAATAGGCATCTATTCTGACCCTAACCCCACATTGGTGCAAAATTTCGTATGGATCGGGTCATAATTGCGACCTGTAGCGTGATGATTTTTCAAAATGAGATATCTGTGTCCGAATTGCAAACCAATGAATCAAACAACCAACATTCACGGACACACACTCACACAAACAACCAAAAAAGTAACCAGCCATTTGGTAGACAAAAAGTCGGCAGCAGAGAAAATGTGACCACAAATACTATTAACACCTGTGCCAAGTTAAAAAATGAAACATACTTAAAATAATTGCCAGTTGTTTGGTCACTTGTGCTGATAATGTTGTTCCCTTTGGGGATCAACATTGTTGCCAACATGAACTCCGAAAACCCACTATCATTGCAATCTCTATCATCATCAAGCCACAATTACCACTGCCATCCAGCTCATGGATGTCGTTGGCTATCGGTTAGTTGGTTGGTCTGCTGGCTCAACCAGCCTTTGGGCTAAATGATCAA